AGGACTTTTTTTTTTTTGGTCAAAACACGTTGAGGACTTTACGTATATTTGTTTCGAGCTTTCGAAATTGGAATGATAAAAGTGTTGTAGTTATTGCCAGACGTACAGATTTGTGTTGTGGACTCAAATTTTAATTAATATTTTATTAATTTATAAATTTTTTAAATAATTAATTATATTATATAAAAATATCATTATATAAACTATTTTTTAAACTATAATAAAAGGGCATCCGAGGAAGACAATAGACCTCTTAAATCAAACGTAGGCCCTACAATTGGGCTGACAGGCGAGTCTCCAGTCTCCACATATTTGTCATCACATGGTATCACGTTTTCCACGTGGAGTGAACAGTTAACGTTTGCTCAGTCACTTACGAATCTTTGCGATTGTAATAGCATGTCATTCTCTATCCCTCGCCTGGTTCTCATTATAGTTTTATTTATTTATTTTTTTTTACGCAGACGATGGGTTAGGAAACAACCCTCCCTTTCTTTAATCATTGTCTGCTCCTTATAAGGTTTAAATTTGATATTTTTGAAATAGAAACTTAAAATTTTAATTACTAAAATATTCTTAAGGAGCCTTATTATGGTGGTTATGCAGAGTGTTTACAGCAATATTTCACATGTGACACTTCTCGCCTCTTAATAGCTGGAAAACCCATTAACAAATGCAATTTTTCTTGCTTCAAGCAAAAACATTCAAATTTCAAATAGGATGAACACTTCTGCTAAAACGTGACTGCCCAGGTTATCAAATTTCAAAATGACCATTGATTCTTTATTTGTAGAACAACAACTGAAATTAATGGTGAGGAGTGAATACGTGAGTTCACTATTTCAGTGTTAAATTTATGAGCAAAAAATGAGAATGAATGAGGAGTTGCAAAGTCGTGTGGCGAAGATGATGACGTGGCAGGACGGATGGGCCGGTAGTGGTGTTGAAAGGTCGGAGGATTGGTTTGAACAGCAAAGAGAAAATTTCCCAGGACAACTAACTATTGGGGGGAGAGTAACAGTGTGGCACTGGGACGTTCACAATTAAGACGAGAAGGAGAGAGGTCCGATGAAGTTGTTGCAAACAGGTTTGCAGAAAGCTTTTTTTTAACATATGCGGTACAACCGTATAAGTTAAATAGGTAATTAAT